TTGAGAACTATTCAAATATATAATTGGGAGAATAATGGCTTACCCTATTAGGTGTCTTGGCCTTCTATTTATAATAAAACAGAGTTATGAAATATTACAAGGTAATACCTAAATATTACATTATTACACCCCCTCAATTTGTGCAGGGGAAATCACGTGCAAATTGGAACGTAAAAACTCAAATCGCGGACTAGATAATTTTTTGGTGAAGATATCAGCTAATTGTAACTGAGTAGGTATGTGCTTCACCACAAGGTCTCCATGTGCTACACGTTCACGAACACAATGGTAGTCAATTTTAATGTGCTTGCTCCGATCATGTTGAATGGGATTAACTGCCAAGTAAGAAGCTGAGACATTATCATAAAGGAGCTGTACAGGGGCCGAAATAAATATGCCCATATCTGCCAGTAGTGATATGATGAAAAGTGTATCCTGAACAGTATAAGCATTGGCCCTGTACTTGGCTTCATGCTTATTTGATGAAAAGTGTATCCCGATCAGTAGAGGATTTGGATACTGTCGGTTGTTTCTTGGAGCACCACGAAATTAAATTGGAGCCTAGAAACACCGCATAGCCTGTAGTAGAACGAGAGCTATCTGGACATCCTGCCCAATCTGCATCCGAGTAAGCCGTAACCACGGAAATATTTTTATCAGCTCGTAACCATAGGCCATGAGTGCTCGTGCCCTACAAATACCTGTAAATCCTCTTAACAGCCAAAAGGTGAGTAGTACGTGGAGCATGCATAAACTGAGAAACAAGGTGAACAACATAAGTAATATCAGGTCTAGTAAGGGTTAGATACTGAAGAGCACCTACCATACTCCGATACTCAGTAATATCAGATAAAAGTTCCCCATCTGTGAGAGACAGTGTAGTGCGTGAAGGTAGGGGAGTACGAACAGGCTTTACAGTATGAAGATGAAAACGACGTAAGAGATCAGTTATATACTTAGCCTGTGACAAGAACAAACCCGTAGGTGTGCGTTTAGCCTGAACACCTAAGAAATAATGAACTTCCCCAAATCCTTCATCGCAAATTGATGAGATAATGTAGTGATAACAGAGGAAACAAATGAAGCAGAAGACCCTGTAATAAGAATATCATCCACATATAAAAGAATGTAAACCACTTGGGACTAAGTACGATAAATAATCATGGATGAATCAGACCTGCTTTGTCTAAAACCACGACTCAACAAAAACCGTTGAAACGATGAAACCAAGCTCGAGGAGCTTGTTTCAACCCATAAAGAGCCTTGCGAAAGCGACACACATGATTAGGATAAGACGGATGAACAAAACCCTGAGGTTGACGCATATATACCTCCTCAGTTAAAACACCATGCAAAAAGGCATTTTTCACATCTAACTGACGAACAGACCAGCCCACAGAAGTGGCAACAGATAAAACAAGACGAACAGTAGTCGGTTTAACAACAGGACTAAAATTTTCAGTAAAATCAATACCAGCCTGTTGTTTCAAACCTTGAGCAACAAGACGAGCTTTATGCCGTTCAACAGACCCATCAGAATAGTATTTTGTCTTAAAAATCCACTTACAACCAACCACATTTTTAGTAGGGTCCTAAGGTACCAAATCCCAAGTCTTATTATTAATCAATGCATTAAATTCATCCGCCATGGCAGCCCGCCAAATATAACTTTTATTTGCCTGTGTAAAACCTGTAGGATCATTCGGGGGAGCCAAAACACTTAAGGTAAAAATGTTTTTGGGTTTAAAAATTCCATCCTTGGCGCGAGTACGCATGGGGTGAACATTTAGAGGTGTTGGTGGGGTCGGGAGCGCTGCTGCAGAGGACGGTGGAGAATGGTCATTATGGACACTGGTTGGGGACGGGGTAGGGGAGGTTGTGGGCGATGGAAGTGGGCTGCTTGGATGATCAGTAGGCTGGGGAGTGGTCTGTACTGTGAGGGTGCGAGGCTGGTCAGCGGTGAAGGAGGAGGGGACGGCTGGGTATTGGGTGTTGTGGCGGTAGGTGTTTGACAGGAGGAGAGCGGAGTGGAGATGATGTACTGCAGCGGGGAAGAGGCATGGACAGAGGTCGACCGATAGGTATCGGAGACCGAAGAGGAAAGCCAAGATGAAGGCAGGGTAGATGGTGTGGTAAAGGATGTCGACATTAAGGAAGGATAGGGAAAAACATTTTCATGAAAAAGCACATCCCGACTAACATAAACCCGGCCTGTGGAAGGAGATAAGCAACGATACCCTTTATAACCCAGAGCGTACCCGGCCAAGAAAGACACAGTGCGTAAAACATGGTGAGAGCTTATTGTTTGAGGCGGCAATAAAATTAGGAAAACATGACCAACCAAATACCCTTAAAAATTATAGTCAGGCAGTTTATTAAAAAGTTTTTGATATGGAGAGACTCCATGCGAAATGGGAGTAGGTAAACGATTTATAATAAAAGTGGCGGTGTAAAGTGAATCTACCCAGAAGTGACTAGGAATAGAAGAATCAATTAATAAGGTCCTAGTCAGTTCGAGTAAATGTTTATGTTTGGGTTCAGCTACCCCATTTTGAACGGGAGTATGAGGACAAGATTTTCTAAATAAAATGCCTGACTTAAGAAAATGTGTATTAAAAATGGAATTATTAAATTCACCCCCTTCATCGTCTGAAAAAATTTAATTTTGGCATTCAAAATATTTTCAACCATAAAATGTGTAAAAACCTCAGACTTCCTGCGCATGGGGTAAACCCAGGTATATCTAGAGAAATCATCAATAAATGACACATAATATTTAAACCCAAGATTAGAAATAACTGGTGATTGCCAAATTAAACATCAGAATGAATAATTTCTAGAGGTGCGGAAGTATCATGAACAACATCAGCAAAAGGAAGTCTGTGGGATTTACCCAACTTACGTGAAACACAGTCATGAGTATAACCAGAAGAACTAGTAATTAATTTATTTTGCCTAAGAGTACAAAGAACTCTATCACCACAATGTCCTAGACGCTTGTGCCAAACGGGACCAGGTACAACGCGGGCTTGAAAAGGGGTAAAAGGATAGACATGATCTTTATTAGTGGCCTGAAGAAGAAGCTCCCCCGTTTGAGTGTCCTTAACAGAAAAAGAATTTTTATCAAAAATCACTTGACAGGCATTTAATCAATTGAGGGAAAGAGGGGCGGCGAAAATCAGTAGCCCTCGTCACCTAGAGCCCTCGACACTGAGGAGGTTCCCGGTACTTGACGTGCACTCGTCGTTAGGTGCACTCAAAATAATTAATCAATACAACACTAATACGTAGTATAGTGTAGTAAGGTTCGTATCCACAGGGAAAGGAATACTTTTCTTTTATATAAATAATAACAAGGGGGTTTTAGATTTGCTTGGTTTAATAACACTAAGATAAACGACCTATATGAGTTTAATTCAATGAGATGGGGACTTGGTTTTGCTTTTATCCACTTAATGAAATGTTCGTCGATCCCGGTTATATCTTTAACTATCTTCCTCTCGAATACTCAATCGAGGAGCATATCCAGTAATCGAGGGTAGTTATTAATAACGAGATGCGTTCATTAATAAAACTTACTATCGAGTCAATATAGAACAAGCGCCGTATATTAACTTGATAGTAGCAATAAACTTAAGATGAAAACGATTGAGATTGATAACCTCAACACAAGCGTTTTATTGGTTTAATCAATATATTAACATGGTTAATTCCCCTTGGCATATTAACCATGAGATGCATGCATTAATATTCCAAGTTTACTACCGTTGAAAGAACCGGATTAATAACAAGCGTATTAACCGATTGATTCTAGTAATAATTAATATGAGAAACAATACTAGTTGATACTTTAAGTAATGTTTAAGATATTAACATGAAATATGAATAGGAATTAATCAATACTCAAGGAAGAATATTAAAATATATGAATCCTACTATGATTAATATCGAGATGTTAACTAATTGTCATCTTAGCAACACTCCCCAATATAATCATAGAGGAAGAAATAGCTATTACTATAACCAATGTCAAGATGTTAACTAATTGTCATCTTAGTAACACTCCCCAACTTTGATATAGAGATAGTATTTTGAAAGAAAGAATTAATATTCAAGGAAGAAGATTAAAGAAAATAACTCACAACTTACAAATTCATTAAGCTTCAAAGTAGCAAAACCAAGATGGAAGAGTTTAGCTCCTCATTTGGAGACTAAACATGATGAAAAATATAAAGAAAGAGCTATTCTATACTGAGCTTAGATGTACAAGGGATTGGATATCTTTTTGTGAAGGAAAGGAGGTGTATTTATAGGTTTTTGGGATGAGATTCGGGTACTCGATCGGGTATATACATGGTACCCGATCGAGTATGTGTGTAACATCCGATCCGAGGCATACTCGACCGGTTTCAGGCTATTTTCTAAGTGTATACCCGATCGAGTATATATGAATACCCGGTCGAGTATGCTTAGAAAGTGATATTCGGGCTATACTCGATCGATCTTCGTTTGCAATTTAAAGGCATACCCGATCGAGTATATATGAATACCCGGTCGGGTATGCTTAGAAAGTGGTATTCGGGCTATACTCGACCGATCTTCGTTTGCAATTTAAAGGCATACCCGATCGGGTATGTCGGTCTACCCGATCGGGTATAGACATAGAATCGTGGCCAAAAGCTTCCCTGCATGTTCCTTTGTCTTCGGATCTGATCCGATTTGAAGTTCCAACCTAATACCCGATCGAGTATAGCTAATACTCGACCGAGTATAGACCAAAATTCAGGATCTTCTTTTGTCTTTGAACTTTTGCACCTTCTCTTCACTTTTTGGGTTCACCAACTGTACTTTGGGTGACCAAAACCTGCTTAAGCTCAGAATATGTCTAATCTAACCTATTTACAAGAATTTAACAATCTAATCTATTACACCAAAAGTGTGTAATTTCCAAAGTAAAAGTCAAGCAAAACTAATTAAAAACATAAACATAGAAATGGAAATTACGAACGTATCAACTCCCCCACACTTAAACTTTTACTCGTCTCGAGTAAGATCAAATGTTTACAAGTGTCAATGTTTGTCCAAAAGTTCCACAGTTCAACAAAAATATAATACAAACACAAAGACCACCAAGGATTACAAAGAAAAATGAGTTTTAAACTCAAATCACAAAAGAGCATCTTGGGTTTAATGGCCTCCTAGTGTTGTCTTCTTTTCTCCTCCTCTCTTCTTCTTTATCTTGAATCTTCATATTCTTCATAAGGATACAATGAGTGCCTGCAAGAACAAACATTTCTCTCATATCTCTCATTTTGCCTAGGAGCCTTTTCAGGTTTTCATCCTAGCACCTCTTTTCATTTTCCATTCTCTCCAACTCACTCATTTTTTTTTATATAAGCCTTTTTTGCTTAGATTGCCCATTTTGTTGGGTTTTCAACCTAACTAGCATTTATTTTCTTTTGTTTATTTTTTTCTTTAATTTTTTTTTTGAGTGTAAAAGTTCAAAAGAATTACATGCATAGTGCTAGGTACAAATGAGAATTACATACCATCATGAGTGTCTCCCCCGCACTTGAATCACGCACTGTCCCTAGTGCCCGCCTTCTCCTCCGTAGTAGCTCCCTCCAAAACCGCTCCCTTGGCCACCATCTCCCATGTAAGTGTCCCCGCCATCTCCGCCGTCGTACCCTCCACCACCGGAGCCAGATCCTCCAAAGTTACCCCAATGAGTGGGGTCATACCATGAGGGTGGTGGAGGAGGGTTCGCCATGGTATGGAAGGATCCCTGCTGTGCCATAAACGAGTACATAGGCCCGTAGAACCTATGTTGGTCTTCCTCATACCGGTGTCTATCGGCCTCCCGGAGCTCCTCCAAACGTTGAAAGCCGGCCCTTTGCTCATCCTCCAATCTTTGAAAACCGGCTCTTTGCTCTTCCTCTAATCGGTTGAGCCGGTTGTCCATTTGAGCTATTCCCGTAAGAAGTTGTTGTTGACCCTCCAGAAGTTGTTGAAAGAAGTCGGGTGGTGGAGGGTTTTGGCTTTGTTCTGGGAAATCATGGCTCATGGTTGGATGGCTATGGAGTTGCTCGTAGGGCTCGTCATCGGGTTGGTTTTGGGGGAGTTCCTGTTCCGGTTCTTGAAGATGTGGTGGGAGGGCGTTTGGGAAGAGGTAATGTTGATCCGGCCTGCCTGTTTTGAAGTGGAGTTGGGGGAGTTCTAGGTTGGGCAAGAGGAAGTATTTGAGGGGTTTGGGGTGGATGTGCCAGTTGTACATATTTTTGGGCCTTTCTTCACCATAAACGGTGTGTGAAAAAGAAGTACAGCCCGAGTGGCCTAGCCAAGATATGTTCATTAAACAGTAGTCGGGTATAGGAGAGTCATCCGTATACCCGAACTTTGTGGCCAAGTGCATAATCACCCCGCCCACTACGATAGCACCCTTTGCCACACTTTCCTTCTTTAGATGAGCCCACATGAGATTACAGAGGTTGAAATCCACGTGGATACGGAATAAGGCAACCGAGATGAGGCATACATCCCCCATCCTTGTATGATGGTTGTTGGGACGTCCAAGCAAGGAGTTGGCAAGAAATTTCAAAAAGAGGCGTAGGACTGGATGTTGGACATGACTAATGTAGAGTTGGGAGGAGCTAACTTTGGTCTCCCCGGTCATCTTGGTCCATAGGGTGTGGTCGAAGGCGGTATTGTCGGATATAGACTTTTGGTACGGGACCGGAATACCAAAGTGTTCGGCAAACTCAAGTTTCGTGATGGTGTGATTGTGATTAAACAATCGAAACCTGAGTTTATCATCCCTAAAGTCCTCCTCATTGTTCTCAAAGTGCACCGAGCTTAGGAATTCATAGATAATTTTTTCATTTGAGTTGTATTGCATTTTGAAAATTTTATCCATATGCAACTCATGAAAAAATTTCTTCATTATTGTGTATACTCCTAATTCCTTTAGAGCATCAAGGCATAAAAAGCGGGAAGGTTTGACTTGCCTTTCAATTGTGGACATGAAGCGTGTGCGTTGTTCGTTGTCCACGAAAAGGATGTCCTCGTAGCCCGGGATGATTGTCCTAGTGCTTGAGCTTTGCCCTTTCTCTTTCCTTGGAGCCATTTGAAGTGAATTTGGCCTTTGAAAACCGAAATTGGAATGGTGGGGGTAGGGTTTTTCGGACCTCTGAAAGTTGGAGGAGAATGGGATTGGTGGGTATGAATGTGTAGAGGAGGATGAGGGGAGTGTTTTGGCGTTGGAATGGGTGGATTTGGTGAAGATTTGGAAGAGATATGGTAGAGAGAAGGTGTAAAAATGGGGTTTGGGCGTTTTTTGTTCGAGATAGGGTTGGGAATTTGGGGAAGATGAAGTGTTTTGGGGCTGATTTGGGGTTATAAGACCCGTATACCCGATCGAGTATGTGCTGGTACTCGGTCGGGTATGGCTGGAAAGTGTAGTTTTTGAGCGGCCTGTCTCCTGTACTCGATCGGGTAGGGTGGAGTTACCCGGTCGAGTATTCTTAGAAAATGAACTTTGTGAGCAGCCTGTCTCCTGTACCCGGTCGAGTATTCCTCCATACTCGATCGGGTATGTGCTTTTTTTTCATTTTTGAAGCGTGTACTCGGTCGAGTGTGGGAATCAGTCCCCTTCAATTTTAGCATTTCTAGCGATACCCGACCGGGTGTATAGTGATATCCGATCGGGTATTGCTTATTTTTCAAATTTTGAATGCTCCCTCGATCGAGTAGTGTCCGGTCCCTTTTCTTTTTGCTCATACCCGACCGAGTATAAGGTTATACTCGATCGGGTATGTCCCCAGATGTTCAAAAACCTGCAAAATTTTTTTATTTCTTTTTTTCCAAAAACCCATGATTAGTGCCCTCCCTCTCAACCTCTCAAAGACATAATTGAAAACATTGACAGGGGGGGTTAACAATAAAAGAAAAATGTACCTTGCTTGGGTTGCCTCCCAAGAAGCGCCTTAGTTAACGTCGCGGCACGACGCCATTGTTGTGTTCATTCTTCAAAGATTGGATCGATGAGATCCATGCATTCAATGCTTTCTTTCTGGAAACCTTCAAGGAATGGTTTGAGTTGATGTCCATTAACCTTGAGGATTTTTCCGGTATCGAGGCTTTTTGTTTCCACTGCGCCATGGGTGTAGACTTTGACCACCTCGAATGGTCCTTCCCATCGTGATCTCAATTTTCCGGGGAAAAGGCGAAGGCGTGAGAGAAAAAGAAGGACTTTGTCTCCAACTTGGAAATCCTTTCTTATTATCATTTTGTCATGCCATACCTTCGTCTTTTCCTTGTAGATGGCGGCATTCTCATAGGACTCCAATCGAAGCTCTTCTAGTTCCTGGAGTTGTAGCTTCCTTTGCTCTCCTGCTTTAGCCATGTCGAGATTGAATGTTTTGACCGCCCAATAAGACTTGTGTTCGAGTTCGACCGGAAGATGACAGGCCTTACCGAACACGAGTCTATAGGGTGACATTCCAATTGGGGTTTTGAAAGCGGTCTTGTATGCCCATAAGGCATCATCCATGCGCAGGCTCCAATCCTTACGGTTCGGATTTACTGTCTTTTGAAGAATTGATTTCAGCTCTCTGTTTGATACCTCAGCTTGACCGTTTGTCTGTGGATGGTAGGCGGTGGAGAGTTTATGTGTGACGCCATATTTCTTTAACAAGGTACTCACAGTTTTGTTGTAGAAGTGAGTGCCTCTGTCGCTTATCAAGATGCGTGGTACCCCAAACCTTGAGAAGATGCGGGTTTTGAGGAATTCAGTCACTGCTTTGGCATCATCGGTCTTTGTGGCTTTTGCTTCCACCCATTTGGATACGTAATCTACCGCCAATAGAATGTATAAATTTCCATGGGAATTAGGAAAAGGTCCCATGAAATCTATTCCCCACACATCAAAGATCTCCACGTAGAGCATAGGAACTTGGGGCATCTCATGCTTTCGAGAGATGTTGCCCATGCGTTGGCAATCATCACAAGATTGACAATAGACATGTGCATCCTGGAATAAGCTTGGCCACAAAAAACCACATTCAAGTACCTTCATGGATGTTCGTTTTCCTCCAAAGTGGCCACCACATGCATGTGAGTGACAAAAAGCAAGTATGGATGCAATTTCTGTTTCGGGAATGCATCTTCGAATGACTTGATCTTTGCAATGTTTCCATAAATATGGTTCATCCCATACGTATTGCTTTGCATCATGCTGGAGTTTCTCTCTTTGAGCTTTAGAGAAGCTTGGTGGAAACCTGTTTAGAACAAGGAAATTAACAATGTGAGCGTACCAAGGACGAATTTCCTTAAGGGAGAAAAGGGTCTCATCGGGAAATTCGCCTCGGATATCATCTTTGATATGATTGTTTCCTTCGCCCAAGACCAAACGGCTCAAGTGATCGGCCACCAAGTTCTCCATGCCTTTCTTGTCCTTGATCTCAACATCAAACTCGCTCAGGAGTAGTATCCATCGAATCAGCCGTGGTTTGGCCTCTTTCTTTGTCATCAAGAACCTAATAGCCGCATGATCGGTGTAAATGATCACTTTGGTACCAAGTAAGTATGACCTGAATTTTTCGAGCGCATAAACGACGGCCAACATTTCTTTTTCGGTGGTGGCGTAGTTGCGTTGGGCATCATTGAGTGTGGTGGATGCATAATAGATCACATGAGATGCTCTTCCCACCTTTTGGCCCAAAACGGCCCCGACCGCATAGTCACTAGCATCACACATGATCTCAAAGGGAAGAGACCAATCCGGGGCTTGGATGATAGGTGCGGTTACTAATTTCTCCTTCAAAGTATTGAAGGCCTTCTTGCAGTCCTCGGAGAATATGAACTCCACCTCCTTTTGCAAAAGTGTGCATAAAGGAGATGCAATCTTTGAGAAATCTTTGATGAACCTCCTGTAGAAACCTGCATGTCCAAGGAATGATCGTATCTCCTTAACGGTGGTAGGATAAGGTAGTGATTGGATAACCTCCACTTTTGCTTTGTCCACCTCTATTCCTTTGGACGAAATTACATGGCCTAGGACAATTCCTTCCTCCACCATAAAGTGACATTTTTCAGAGTTTAGAACAAGATTTGATTCTAAACAACTCTTCAAAACAAGAGATAGATGAAGTAGGCATGAATCAAATGAGTCTCCATGGATTGTAAAATCATCCATGAAGACTTCCATAAATAGCTCAACATATTCAGAGAATATGCTCATCATGCATCGTTGGAATGTGGCCGAGGCATTGCAAAGTCCGAATGGCATGCGCCGGTATGCAAAAGTGCCAAATGGACAAGTGAAAGTGGTCTTCTCTTGATCTTCAGGGGCTATAGGCACTTGAAAGTACGCGGAGTAGCCATCAAGAAAGCAATAGAACTTATGCCCGGCAAGTCTCTCAAGCATTTGGTCGATGAAGGGTAAAGGAAAGAAATCCTTTCTAGTTACCGCATTGAGTCTACGGTAATCTATACATACCCTCCATCCATTTTGAATTCGGGTGGGCATTAGTTCTCCATGTTTGTTTTCCACTACCGTGACTCCGGTTTTCTTTGGGACCACTTGGGTTGGGCTAACCCATTTGCTGTCGGAGATGGGGAAGATTATCCCCATTTGGAGTAGTTTGATCACCTCTTTTTTGACCACCTCCATCATAGGTGGAGTTAGTCTTCGTTGCGGCTGTCGTACCGGCTTGGCCTCATCCTCCATTAAGATGCGATGCATGCAAGTAGATGGACTAATGCCTTTGATGTCGGCTATAGTCCATCCAATTGCTAGTTTATGCTCATTGAGCACCGCTATCAATTTGCCTTCTTGTTCTCCGGTCAATTTGTTTGAGATAATGACCGGTAGTGTCTCTTTTTGCCCCAAAAACACATATTTCAAATGTGTTGGGAGTGGTTTCATCTCAACGTCGGGTGCCTGCAAAACTGAAGGTAGAGGCTTTTCCTCGGGGATGGTTAGTGGAAATGCCCTAGACCCCGGTGGCATAAGTGGGAGTTGGAAGTGAGTATCCAATTCCACTATCATAGCTTGTGTGTTGGGGGTCAGGGCAAGTTCTGAAGAGTTTTCCCCGAAGTCATTTTCAAGTATACTTAACAATTCGTCCTCTTTATTGATTTCAAAAGTATTTTGTACAAGGGGGTCAACAATATCAATGGCAAATAAAGAATGATTTTCATTTGGATATTTCATGGAGTCATAAATGTTGAATTCAACTTTATCCCCATCAAATTCCATTGTTAAGGAATCGCTAAATACGTCAATCTTTGCTCTAGCGGTTTTTAAAAATGGCCTTCCTAAAAGGATAGGTACCGCATTCTTATCATTCTCCATTTCCAAAACATAAAAGTCAGCGGGGAAAATCAAATTGTCAACCATAACTAGTACGTCTTCGACAATACCTTTAGGGTAGGCATTTGATCTATCCGCAAGTTGAATGACTACTCTGGTTTCATTTAAAGGGCCAAGCTCAAGTGATTTGTATAAAGAGTAAGGAATGACATTAATTGATGCTCCTAAATCGAGCATGGCTTTTGAAAACGTAGTTCCTCCCAACTTGCAAGGTATAGTGAACATGCCCGGGTCATTGTATTTCTTTGGAAGTTTCTTTTGAAAAACTGCCGAAACACGTTCACTAACTTGGACTTTTTGTTTTCCATTGAGTCTATGTTTCCTTTTTATTGTACATAGTTCTTTGAAAAATTTTGCGAATCTCGGAACACCCTTTATCAAGTTAAGGAGAGGGATATTTACTTCACATTTGGAGAATGTCTCATAGATGTCCTTGTCCTTCTCCAGCTTCCGTGTTTCCCTTAGAGCCTCGGGGAAGGGTGCTTCAATCTCGGGAATGACCGGTGGTGGGGTTGGGATTTGAGCTTCCACCTCCGGTTGAGTCACTTCCACCAGTTCCTCTTCTTCCTCCTCTTCGCCAATGTGGCTCTTTGCCTTCTCCTTGGCCATAACCAACTCCTTGCCACTCCGTAATGTGACTGTGTGGGCTTGTTGCCTAGGATTCGGCTCCGTTTGAGATGGTAGCCTTGCCGAATCCTTAGCTTCAAGCCTACTCACGGCATTTGAGATTTGGCTGATTTGGTTTTCCAAGTTGTGGATGCTGGATTTTGTTGTTTCTTGGAATTGAACCACACTTTGTTGCATTGTTGCCATATTCATGGCAAGTGATCGAATCATGTCTTCGGTTGACATATTCGAGTTAGAAGTTTGGCCTTGTTGTTTATATTGTGGAGGAGGAGGATTTGATGGTTGAGGAGGTTGAGAGTTTCCGTACCTTAAATTAGGATGATCCCTCCATCCCGGATTGTAGGTGTTGCTTTGAGGATTATACCTCTTTTGATTTTGGAAACCCAAAGCATTGATCTGTTCAACGTTCTCCTCTTGTAGTGTTGGGCAAGAGTCGGTGGGGTGCCCTTGTGTCGAGCATATGCCGCAGACCTTGACTTCTTGAGGTTTCGGATTTAAGAGAAAATCTTTAACCAAAGAAGTCAAGCCGGCTACTTGACTTTCCAATGAGTTGTTGGATTCTGCCGCCATAACTCGTTTTGTTGATCGCCGATCATAGTGCCTACAATTCTCGGCCAACTCCGAGATGAGGTTTGTAGCTTGAGAAGGGGTCTTGTTGACAATCCCTCCTCCACATGCGGCGTTTATCATCCGCCTATCTTCATTGCAAAGACCATCATAGAAATATAAGATGAGGTCTTGCTCCGAATAGCCATGATAAGGGCAGCTTGCACACAGTTTCTTGAATCGTTCCCAATATTCGTAGAACGATTCATCATCCTTCTGCTCCACGTTGCTGATTTGTTTTTTTAGAGAGGATGAGACAGAGGCAGGGTAGTACCTTTCCAGGAACGCTTTCTTCATGGCCGCCCATGTTCCTATACTTCCTGAAGGAAGATAGAATAGCCAATCCTTTGCGGTATCCTTCAGTGAAAATGGAAATGCCCGCAGTTTGATTTGTTCTTCTGTCACACCGTTTGGGCACATGCTTGTGCAAACGACGTGGAACTCCGATAAATGTTTGTTCGGGTCTTCTCCCCTCAGGCCATGGAAGGATGGCAGCAGATGAATGAGCCCAGATTTTAGCTCAAACGTATTACCCTCATCAAGTGTAGGGAAGGTAATACACAGTGGTTGTTGGTTGAGGTTTGGAGCTGTGAGCTCCCTCAGTGTCCTTGTTTCAAGAGCCATTGTGGTTGACTCTTCGGTGTCGCTAGAACTAGAGCTAGCGGTGTATGAATCTCTAGAAGATGATTCTTCCGAGTCGGTGTTAAATAATTTACTTTTCAACCGCTCGAAAGTTTGTTCTATTTCTGGGTTTTTGTGATATGTGATTTCGTTTATGGAACGATGTTTAACCATAAACTCCACTAAGCTCAGAAAATAGAAAAAAATAAGAACTCTTTATAATTTTTTTTTTATTTAATATTTTTTTTTTTGATTTTTCTTGATATGAAGATAAAAGAAAAATTTATTGCCTTTCCCCGGCAACGGCGCCAAATTTGACGTGCACTCGTCGTTAGGTGCACTCAAAATAATTAATCAATACAACACTAATACGTAGTATAGTGTAGTAAGGTTCGTATCCACAGGGAAAGGAATACTTTTCTTTTATATAAATAATAACAAGGGGGTTTTAGATTTGCTTGGTTTAATAACACTAAGATAAACGACCTATATGAGTTTAATTCAATGAGATGGGGACTTGGTTTTGCTTTTATCCACTTAATGAAATGTTCGTCGATCCCGTTATATCTTTAACTATCTTCCTCTCGAATACTCAATCGAGGAGCATATCCAGTTCATCGAGGGTAGTTATTAATAACGAGATGCGTTCATTAATAAAACTTACTATCGAGTCAATATAGAACAAGAGCCGTATATTAACTTGATAGTAGCAATAAACTTAAGATGAAAACGATTGAGATTGATAACCTCAACACAAGCGGTTTATTGGTTTAATCAATATAATTAATTCCCCTTGGCATATTAACCATGAGATGCATGCATTAATATTCCAAGTTTACTACCGTTGAAAGAACCGGATTAATAACAAGCGTATTAACCGATTGATTCTAGTAATAATTAATATGAGAAACAATACTAGTTGATACTTTAAGTAATGTTTAAGATATTAACATGAAATATGAATAGGAATTAATCAATACTCAAGGAAGAATATTAAAATATATGAATCCTACTATGATTAATATCGAGATGTTAACTAATTGTCATCTTAGCAACACTCCCCAATATAATCATAGAGGAAGAAATAGCTATTACTATAACCAATGTCAAGATGTTAACTAATTGTCATCTTAGTAACACTCCCCAACTTTGATATAGAGATAGTATTTTGAAAGAAAGAATTAATATTCAAGGAAGAAGATTAAAGAAAATAACTCACAACTTACAAATTCATTAAGCTTCAAAGTAGCAAAACCAAGATGGAAGAGTTTAGCTCCTCATTTGGAGACTAAACATGATGAAAAATATAAAGAAAGAGCTATTCTATACTGAGCTTAGATGTACAAGGGATTGGATATCTTTTTGTGAAGGAAAGGAGGTGTATTTATAGGTTTTTGGGATGAGATTCGGGTACTCGATCGGGTATATACATGGTACCCGATCGAGTATGTGTGTAACATCCGATCCAAGGCATACTCGACCGGTTTCAGGCTATTTTCTAAGTGTATACCCGATCGAGTATATATGAATACCCGGTCGAGTATGCTTAGAAAGTGATATTCGGGCTATACTCGACCGATCTTCGTTTGCAATTTAAAGGCATACCCGATCGAGTATATATGAATACCCGGTCGGGTATGCTTAGAAAGTGGTATTCGGGCTATACTCGACCGATCTTCGTTTGCAATTTAAAGGCATACCCGATCGGGTATGTCGGTCTACCCGATCGGGTATAGACATAGAATCGTGGCCAAAATCTTTCCTGCATGTTCCTTTGTCTTCGGATCTGATCCGATTTGAAGTTCCAACCTAATACCCGATCGAGTATAGCTAATACTCGACCGAGTATAGACCAAAATTCAGGATCTTCTTTTGTCTTTGAACTTTTGCACCTTCTCTTCACTTTTTGGGTTCACCAACTGTACTTTGGGTGACCAAAACCTGCTTAAGCTCAGAATATGTCTAATCTAACCTATTTACAAGAATTTAAAAATCTAATCTATTACACCAAAAGTGTGTAATTTCCAAAGTAAAAGTCAAGCAAAACTAATTAAAAACATAAACATAGAAATGGAAATTACGAACGTATCAGTACTCAGAGCCCTCGACTTACCGAATTGAGCCATCCAATATCCCAATAAAACTGTCGGAGACAAGAAAAGACTCAAATTGGGTACGCCACGGTAGGTAATCCTCAACGGCCGATAAGCGGGTTGTAACAATATTAGTCATATTTGGCGTAGAAAACGTCAATTGTGATGAGAGGGAGGATAAAGAACCTGTGACTTGCGTAGAACCTGATCCGGCCATGACTGGTGCATGTTGCGGAGGATTTGTGGCTGGCTGGGCAGTGAAGGTGGGTCCGGCAAAGTGCATGGACGAAGCGCCTGCGTCAGAAATTGAGGGAAAGAGCGGCGGCGGAGCAAGGCTCTTGGTCGGAGTTCACGTAAACGGTGCTGGCATGCCAAATAACTGATATTGATCAAAATGTTGAGGATTACCGAGACGCTGCCGGAGTGCTGGAGCGAGAGGGGACCAGGCTGGTGGCGCATCATCGGCGTGCGAAGAAAGTGTTGCACTGCTAGAGCCAGTTTGAAAGGAGGACATCTGACCGGTGGTCTGGCTGAGTATTCCGGACGAGGGCTGCACCATAACTGTGGGCGCCTTAGTAGATGGAATTCCGCTCTGCTGTGGCCGCACCTGGGAGGAGGGCGCCGACTGTGAGAGGGCTAGGGAGGGCTGCGCGTCGGCCATGGAGGAAGGAAACGGAAAACCTAGACGACTGATACCATATACGAAAATATAATTGGGAGAATAATGGTTTACCCTACTGGGTGTCTTGGCCTTCTATTTATAATCAAACAGAGTTATGAAATATTACAAGGTAATCCCCAAATATAACATTATTAAGAACAAGCCCAAAAGTTCAAAATCATTGGAATTGATTGCAAACTCATACTAGTAGTATCATACTCTTTTTATTCCTTAAAACATTGCTACCTTTTTTTGTTATCACACTAACTTTGTCATTTTCTTTTTTAAGTAAAAAATTTGTGGTTTCATCAATTAATTAATTCTATTTCTTCTGCACAAACCTCAATTACACAATGTTTCTTTATTAATCCATGTGTCAATCAAACTTGATCAATTTTTAAGGGACGGATGAAATACTATGTATGCTACATAGTACATACCACTCATACTTTTGGGTTAGATACGGGAAAACACTACGGTATAAGATCGAACAATGTCAATTATTAATCGGCTAATAAAAACAAAGAATGAAAAAAATAACACTCTCGAGTTTAGAGTGCATAAAAATAGGATTAATTTTAAGTATCAATTTTAGAATATATAATCTAGAGTACTCCTAAGAAAAATATCAAATATCAATTATTTACGAATAATTTCAATTGTAGGGTAATGGTCTCATGTGACCAGTGGAGGACCTAGGAGGTTCTAGGGGGGCAAGTGCCCCTGCTTCCGACCACGAAATTTAGTATTAGTACTTAAGATAAAATTCCTACCCCCACTTCACAGACAATATATATTGCATTGCACTTTTTCATTTATAGGGAAGATCAAATGAAAAGTGGTCTTCCCGTGTAAACTGCAAAGTTTTCACTTTTTCATGTTTCGCTTGCACTTTTTCTTATTTGCATTGCACTTTTTGGCCATTTTGATTTTGGCCAAATTCGGCCAAAATGACGGTAGCAGTTTTGTAAATAAACCAATTTTTTTCGGCTACCGAGAACAAGTGCAATGAAAGCAAGAAACAGTGCAAGCGAAACATCAAAAAGTGCAAACTTTACCCTTTGCACAGGAAGACCACTTTTTATTTGAACCATCCCCTATATATATATATATATATAGAGAGAGAGAGAGAGTAGTGTTCTCCTGACCGGAACCGCCTTCCAGACGACGGCTTTTGGGGACCTTTCCGGTGGATTTTTTTGATGAAATTTTTATGTCATATTCTTCATCAAGTCTAGTTTATCCAAAAAAATATTAAGCTAAAAACTCAATCGGGAAGGTCGTCAAATGATTTTTACAAGATAAATGCGCCGGAAAATACATATAAAACGCAGTTAACTTGTAAAAATCATTTGACGACCTTCACGGTTGAGTTTTTAGCTGATTGTTTTTGTGGATAAACTAGACTTGATGAAGAACATGTCATACAAATTTCATCAAAAAATTCTACCGGGAATGCGGCCAAACGCCGCCGTCCGGACGGCGGTTCCTGTCCGGAATTCCGGACATGAACTTTCCTCTATATATATATAAGGATAATTTCACTGAAGAGCATATATATTGTAGTGAGAATGTAAATGACAAACAATGTGTGAGAGATTGATTCCATGCCATTAGAAGAATATAAAATACCGGGTAAAAATGTCAATATAAATTCATTAAAAGAAACATAAACTGCAAATCAATTAAGCTGGTACAAATTCAATGTTAAAAATGAAAACCTACTTTTTAAGAAAGTGAAAAAAAAACGGAGTAAATGATAAGTCTTTTCTGAATATAAAAAATTGAAAGTTAATCATCCTAATTAAAATATCAAATTACTCTAAATATTAGTTAAAATCAATACAAAATTATGAACTTGCAAAGGAACCCAAATAAATATATATCAAAAAATAATATTTTTATAAAATTTCTACATTTTGTAAAACAATTAGTTAAATAAAATGACTAGAGAAAAACAAGAAAGGAGATGAAGCAGAATTAGTCAAAGCTCGTGCTACGCACGATTTCCTTAAAACGTATTTGTTGCCTCCCACGGTGCTAGGAGCGTTGCAACAATCGTTTCCCAGGATACGATGACTACGAACTAGTGTTTGAGCACACAAAAAAGAGTTCCAGTGAACGAGAACCAAGTAAGAACACAGAAGACCTCGAGGGTTTCCGTTACGGGAAGAAACAAAAGTTAGACCGTATCTTTGAATGATAGGTTTTCGGACGACATTCGTGTCCGCAGGTCGCCCGCGCACACGAGTCGCGGTTTTTCTTCTCCGTTTCGGGATTTGATCGGCACCCCCCCCCTGCGCGTAAGAGAGAGCCTTTCCCTTTAGGAATCTTAACTCCTTAAACGAGGCTTCCCTTTATAAGGGGGTGAAAATCCCTTGAGTTTTTCGGTGTGGGATAAAACACACTAGAAACTCACCATTTTCCCAGTTTTTCCATTTCAACGAGTGAACTTCGAGAATCAATTTCTCATTCACCCGTTATCTGTTTTGAGTGTACCACATATCGAATTGTAGCCCTTAACAAGGACAATCCGAAACCACTTTGAACCGACCCAAATCAGAAGTGGACCCCACTTAAATAATTGCCCCAAAATGACCATTTAATGCAATTTTTAACACATTTTTCCAACAATCCCCCACATGAATGAAAATTGATTTTCGAGACTTAAAAGGACACGAAGATAGGAGGACATGTTGTGTTCACCGGATGATCCTTGCATACGGAGAGGTAGGTTTTATCCTTTGAACCTTCCGTTGTAGAGACACGTTTATTTACTGGCTGTCTAGTAGACTCGATGTCCTTGAACTATACTGCCGTCGTGTAAACATTGACTTATCTTTACACAAGAACCTTCCAACTTTGTTCCGTTCTCATGGGTGTGCCCGTTTTGGCCATGGGTCACCGTCCTGGTTCTGCAAGAGTTTCTAAAGAACTGTGCCTTTACAGTTCTCCTTTGAAGCGGGCCTCTTCTCTCTCACATAGGTGATTCTTCCACGAGTATCCCGCATACTCTTCCAATGTTATCGAGTAGAACAACATTTTAGAATCATTAAAGCAAACGTTTTTGCTAACCTCGTGTGGGAGTCACTGTTTTAACGAGGAGTGGGTAGGAGTCCGAGACCCCCACAGTGACCATCCTTCGCTCTATAATTTAGTTGTCCGTTTTGAACCTATGACCAACTAGGTTGGGTATCCACTATAGAACTTTTCAATTCACGGGCTTTAGTCCCATTCCTCGTGACAACTTCTCCAACAATTCTCTATCCAATGCCTTGGTTAGCGGATCTGCTATGTTATCCTTTGACTTCACGTAGTCAACAGTGATAACACCCGTTGTGAGGAGTTGTTTAATGGTGTTATGTCTATGACGAACGTGTCTAGACTTACCATTGTAGAGATTGCTCTGTGCCCTTCCAATTGCCGCTTGACAATCGCAATGTATACATATTGGAGGTACAGGCTTCTCCCAACTTGGAATATCCTCGAGAAAATGGCGTAGCCATTCAGCCTCTTCAGTGCACTTATCCAAGGCTATTAGCTCAGACTCCATCGTGGATCTAGCTATTAACGTTTGTTTTGAGGATTTCCAGGATACGGCTGCACCTCCCAAAGTGAAAACATATCCACTTGTGGACTTAGAGTCCTTTATGTCGGATATCCAACTAGCGTCGCTATACCCTTCAAGTACAGCTGGATATCTTCCATAGTGCAGTCCAAGATTTTGGATTTTACGTAAATACCTCAAAACCCTTATTATTGCCTTCCAGTGTTCATCACCGGGGTTGCTAGTATATCTACTTAGCTTACTAACCACAAAGGCAATATCAGGCCTGGTACAACTCATTAGATACATCAAGCTTCCAATAATCCTAGCGTATTCTACTTGAGAAATACACTCTCCACGATTTTTGGTAAGTTGTACGTTTTTATCTAATGGAGTCCTTGCCTCTTGATAATCATCCTTATTAAATTTCGTAAGGATTTTATCAACGTAATGGGATTGGCTTAGCGTAAGACCATCAGGTCCTCTAATTATTTTAATCCCAAGGATTAAATCGGCCAGCCCCATATCCTTCATGTCAAATTTAGAATTTAACATGCTTTTGGTAGAATTAATCATTAGATTATTGCTACCCACGATGAGTATATCATCCACGTATAAACATAAAATGACATAGCCGTCTACCGTGCTCTTCACATACACACATTTGTCACTTTCGTTTATTTTAAACCCATTAATTAACATTGCATGATCGAACCTTTCGTGCCACTGTTTAGGGGCTTGTTTCAATCCATACAATGATTTAATTAATTTACACACTTTCCTTTCTTGGCCTGGAACACGAAAGCCCTCGGATTGTTCCATATAGATTTCTTCGTCTATATCACCATTTAGAAAAGTGGTTTTTACGTCCATTTGATGAACTTCCAATTTTCGCAATGCGGCAATTGCTAGTATCATCCTAATGGATTTTATTCTCGTCACAGGAGAATACGTGTCAAAGTAATCATGGCCCTCACGTTGCTTGTATCCCTTGATTACAAGTCTGGCCTTGTACTTATCGATGGAACCGTCAGGTTTCATTTTCCGTTTAAAAATCCACTTGGATCCCAAAGGTTTATTTCCCGGAGGAAGATCAACCAATTCCCATGTGTGATTTTTAAGGATAGAATCCACCTCACTTTTGATGGCTTCTTTCCACATAGGACCTTCGGTAGACGTCACGGCTTCCGTATAAGTCCGTGGTTCATTTTCTACCAAACATGTTAGAAAATCCGGTTCATTTTCTACCATACATGTTAGAATATCCGAGTCAAATTCTACCAAGTAGGTGAGAAAATCCGGTCCAAAGGATTTTTCAACTCTAGCACGTTTGCTACGTCTGGGTTCGGGTTCTTCTCCGGAGCCCTCGCTAGTATTTTCCATAGCTACGTCAAATGTTCGTTTTGACGTGCTAGGTCCTTCGTTGGACTTGCATGAAAATACATCTTCAAAGAATGAGGCATTCCTTGATTCAATTATTGTGTTTTTATGTACATCCGGATTATTCGAATCGTACACTAAAAACCGATAGGCACTACTATTTTGTGCATATCCAATAAAAATACAATCCACCGTTTTTGGACCTATTTTTATTTTCTTAGGTGTTGGTACAAGCACCTTAGCAAGACACCCCCACACTTTTAAATATTGATAGGAAGGCCGTTTGCCTTTCCACAACTCGTACGGAGTTTTATCATATTTTTTCCGGGGAACCTTATTTAAAAGGTAATTGCTTGTCAAGATTGCTTCGCCCCACATATTTTGTGGCAAGTCCGAACTTACTAGCATCGCGTTCATCATATCTTTCAATGTGCGATTCTTTCGTTCGGCAACACCGTTTGATTGAGGTGAATAGGGTGCGGTACGTTCGTGTACTATACCCACACTAGCGCAAAAGTCACCAATTGGTGCTTCATACTCACCACCTCGATCACTCCTAACCGTCTTAATTCGTCGATTAAGTTGGTTTTTCACTTCGTTCTTATAAAGAATGAATTTATCGATTGCTTCGTGTTTATTTTTTAATAAATAAATGTAGCTATAGCGAGTGCTATCATCGATAAAAGTAATAAAATATTTATTACCACCACGTGTTTGTATTGATTTAAAATCACAAACGTCACTATGAATTAATTCAAGTGGTTCCGTTTTTCTTTCAACTGATTTGAAAGACGTTTTCGTTAGTTTTGCCTCTACACAAACTTCACATTTGTGCTTCACATCAATTGTGAATTTAGGAATGTGTTCCATGTTAATTAATCTACGTATAGAATTAAAATTAACATGTCCTAGTCTACCATGCCACACATTAGAAGACTCAAGCAAGTAAGCAGAAGGTATTTTATTATTATTATTATTAATAGTCATTACATTGAGCTTAAACAGCCCATCAACTGCATATCCCTTGCCCACATACATTCCCGATTTAGACAAAACTAGTTTCTCCGACTCAAAGACCATGCGGAAGCCATGCTTGTTCAACAATGAACCGGAAATCAGGTTTTTGCGTATTTCCGGAACAAACAAAACTTGGTTTAGAGTCAGCTCCTTGCCCGAAGTCATCTTCAGGACCACTTTGCCCACGCCTTCAACCGCGGAATGAGCCGAGTTACCCATTCACACTTTCTCACCATTTGATGGCTCAAAAGTTGTGAATAACTCCCGGTTTGAGCAAATATGCCGGGTTGCACCGGTGTCCACAAACCACTCCTTGGAATTGGATCCAACGAGGTTGACCTCGGTCACCACAGCCGCAAGGATGATGTCTTCATCCTTTTGCCCACCTTGCACCAAGTTGACTTGAGAGTCCCTCTTCTTCTTGGGTGCCTTGCAATCCGCGGACTTGTGTCCGTTTTTATTGCAATTGAAGCATTTTCCGTTGAACTTTGTCTTGGAAACGCCTCCCTTGGGACCGAGCTTGCTCTTCCCATTATTCTTGGTTTTGGAGCCTTTTGCATGCTCCACCACGTTTGCCTTGGCGCCATGAACAATTGGGAGTTTCCCATCGTTCTTCCGGTTATCCTCTTCAATCCGCAGACGGAGGATCAATTGCTCCAAGTTCATTTCCTTTCGCTTATGCTTAAGGTAGTTCTTGAAATCCTTCCAAGCCGGCGGCAATAAATGGATAATTGACGCCACTTGGGAAGATTCACTAACTGTCATTCCTTCATCTCGAATTTCGTTGAAGATCATTTGCATTTCCTCAACTTGACTCAAGACCGTCTTCGAATCCACCATTTTAAAATCAAGGAATCGACCAACAACAAATTTCTTTGCGCCGGCATCCTCGCTTTTATATTTGTGGTCCAAAGCATTCCATAACTCCTTAGCCGTAGCTAGTTTGCTATACACGTCGTACAAAGCATCATGCAGCCCGTTCAACACATAGTTTCGGCAAAGGAAGTCAGAATGCTTCCAAGCTTCAACCGCGTTGAAAGATTGTGCATCCACCTCACCCCCGGTTGCTACCGGCGCATGTTCGGTCAAGAACCTTGCAAGACCGAGAGTAGTGAGATAGAATAGCATCTTTTGCTGCCACCTCTTGAAGTTTAACCCGTTAAATTTTTCGGGTTTCTCCACAGAGTTGCTCGGCACGGTAACCATAGGGATTGCCCCTTGGTTGCCCAAAGTAGATGCACCGCGTTGTGAACCATTGTTCACCGGTGCTCCACTTTCAGATTGATTATCGTTTGGCACGTTCTGCCCACCAACATTTCCAATTTATTGCGAAGCGATTTTAACGTTTTCAACGTTTTCCGAAAACACAAAAACTAAGTTCATTCACCGAAGTGACAAACTACGTTTTAAGATTGTTTACCGCAGTACAACAACCAAGGAAAATACGTTTTAGGATTGTTTGCCGGAGTAGAACAATCACCGAATACGTTTTAAGATTGTATCTGTATGATACAAGACCAACAAACACGTTTTAAGATTGTTGGGTGTGTTTCGGAAAATAAAGAAAATTAATTAAAATAAATTAGTTAAATAAAATGACTAGAGAAAAACAAGAAAGGAGATGAAGCAGAATTAGTCAAAGCTCGTGCTACGCACGATTTCCTTAAAACGTATTTGTTGCCTCCCACGGTGCTAGGAGCGTTGCAACAATCGTTTCCCAGGATACGATGACTACGAACTAGTGTTTGAACACACAAACAAGAGTTCCAGCGAACGAGAACCAAGTAAGAACACAGAAGGAATTTTCAGAGTAGCTGTAGGTGTTTTTAGCTCAAGAATACGTGAGGAATGTATTGTGCGTTGTGTTGTTGCAAACCACCTGCCAGCTATTTATAGGAGGATTTGTTGTGTGTTAAATGGGGTGTTAATGGACCTGAACGTTGGACATCAATGACCAGTCCGTTGGGCATTGAATCGTCCATAAATTGTCCATTTAACGCAGCATTAAAAGAGAAGAACGTTGGGCATTAATTTTTGTAACGGACCAGAAGACCTTCTGTTGCGAACAGAAGGCTTCGAGGGTCTCTGTTGCAAACAGAAGACCTCGAGCATCTCTGTTGCGAACAGAAGACCTCGAGGGTCTCTGTTGCGAACAGAAGACCTCGAGGAATTTCAGTGATTTTTTGTACAGATCCATCCTCTTGTATGATTTGGTTCTTAAGTGCAGGTGACCAATGGCCCATCTCAATAAGTCATGAAGCAGATGTTGTTCACCACAACAAATTCCCCACTCGAAATACAACAATAGTTAAGTTGGATTTCAGAAGCTAACAAACTACTATAGGGCATTATACATGAGCTAACAGAATCCACTGGCAAAGATACCTTAGAACTCTACGGTTGTAGTTGTTGGAAGTGTATGGCTCAAAGCATTCATTGTTTCCAAGAATTTGAAGTAGTGGTCAGTGGTGCTACAAGAAAGGAGTTTCTCACTCCACTCTTTTGTATATGTGCTCGAAGATCATCCCAATCCCATCTACTTGAAGAGATCACTCCCCACGTATCTGGTGGGAAGATACCCTGAACAGTTGAACCAATCAATGTAAGCTAGTGTTGTGAAATATTTACAACATAGATATTCAACGAAATATTTTTTTCGAGCTGCATTGACAAAGTAAGAGCTTGTGCAGCACTACTTGACACCTAAATCTACAAATTGATAGAAAACGCCATATGTTGAACTCAAGCAATGAAAATATTAAGAACAATGGATGCAACTCATGCAACTCTCACACCTATTAACGAATGGGAAAGGGGTATAAATACCCATTACAAAGCTTTAACAATGGATTCTAACAAAGTTTAGGGGTATAAACTCCTAAAATAATGCTAACAATTTGAGACTTATTCAATTGCATATTAATGAATGAATAATAGGTAAATAACATGACTCCCACTTGTGCGTGGCACTGCATGTGCTTCATTCTCAAGCTTAATCAATATCCAACACCTCCCCTTGATCCAAGCTTGATCATACCAATCATTTGCATGAAGTACGTGTGTTTCTTCTGATTTAAAGACTTTGTGAACAAGTTTGCATTCTAAGCATCAGTTCCACAAAATTGCAAGGAAATTTATCCTTTTGCCACCAACTATCTGATGAAATAATGCTGAACATCTATGTTCTTGGTTCTTGCATGGAACGTTGGGTTTTTAACCATAGCAATAGTTGATTTCTTGTCACACCATAACTCTACAGCTTCTTCTTGTTCACATCAAATATCCTTCAGTAATTTCTTTAACCATAGGGCTTGTTTAGCTGAAGCACCTACAACTATATACTCTGCTTCAGTGGAAGATATAGGCAGGGCCGATCCTAAGATTTTTTTGGTCTGAGTCGAATGGTATAAAAAGGCCCTTAAGCACCATAAAAAATAGAAAAAATTGCCCTAAATAAGATCAAAACATTGTCAAAATTCCTAAATAGGACATTAAGTTTACTATTCCCTAAATAGGACTCCACATTACAATTTTGCCCCTGATGTATTAAACCTAATCGACCGACTCTTCTCCCAGTCAATTCCCGTTAATCTGCAACGCCTGCGATTGCAGCCCTTCCCGTGCGATTGAACGCAACCACTCCGCTGGTAGGTAATCCCTGCGATTGAACGCAGCCCCCTTCTTCCCTTCTTCTTCAGCCAAGTCAGGTAGGTAATCTTCTTCCCTTCTTCTTTTTCTTCTTCTTCATCTCCTTTCTTCTTCTTCTTCTTCTTCTTCTTTCTTTTTCTTGGATTTGAATTTTTTTATTAATTTGAAATCTGAAAATATCAAAATCCCAAGTTTTGTACTTGCAGACCTCCAGTGAGAATGTCAAGAATAATGACATGATGATGGAAGTTTCGTATAAAAACATGACATTCTCAGTTATGTCATTCTCAGATAAACCATAAAAATGCCATAAAATGTCATAATAATGACATTTTCTTATGGACATATGACATTTTCATATTGTCATTTTGATATATATACTGCCACAAACGTGTCAGTTTTTTCAAATAACCAATAATTTTGACATTCTCAGATTATAAAATGGCATTTTTCTGCATACATAAAATTCAAATCCAAAAAAATCCAAATCAATAAATAGAATTTAAGAAGGTAATAGATGAATAGAAAAAAACTGAAAACATAGTACAGGAGGAGGAAGAAGTGCACCAGGGGAAGAAGAAGAAAGAAAGAAAGAAAGAAAGAAAGAAAGAAAGAAAGAAAGAAAGAATAAGAACAAGAGGAAGAAGAAGAGGAGGAAGAAGAAGATTACCTGCGGTCGACGGAGGAGGTGCGTTGTGACTTGCGAGGCCATAGTCGGTGGCTGAACTGCAGTTCATAGGAGAATGATGCGATGTAGACTGGAGTTTTAATATTAAGGATAATTTTGTCAAGCTACTACATTTTAGTCTTAAAAAAGTCCAAAAAAACATGGTAGTCCTAGTTTTGCATTTTTCTATTCTTTTAGTCTCATTTAGGGAATTTACTCTAAAAAATAAACAAAAAATTTAAACACTTAATTATAATAAAATATATATATATCAAAGTACCTAATTATAAGACAACATGTCTCGTAGTTTTTGCTGCAGAGTATTAATCAAGTCAGAATAATCAACTTGTTCAGCAACTTCTTTCTCAATAGACAGCATAGCAAGCCCATTTAATCTCTCTTGTGACATAGTAGATCTGATAAAGCTCTTGATGAGTTTCAACATTGAGAAGCTTCTTTCTTCACTTGCAATTGTAACAGGTATTGTCAACAAAATCTTGTAGGCGGTGTAAGCATTTGGAAAACAGTCATCCATCTTATGCAAGTAATTCACAACACCAATAGCAGTTTTTGCCTCCTCCTTTAAAGAGCACTTCAAGAATGTTAGCTCTGAACACAAATTATTGCCATTAATATCAGAGCAACCATTGTGGGACAAAACACTTTCAAGATTATTGCAAGATTTCAACAAACTTTCATCATCAGTGTGCTCTAACCTCTCCAAATCAAATAAAATCCCAAAAGTTTCTTCGTATTTTTTAAACTGTTCAAATCGAGTGTCCATTGAAGAACGAGCATGGTCAATTACAAAAAGAAAATAGTGCAACTTGAATGAATCTTCAGCCGATTCAATTTCTCGTACATCTTGACTATTGCTTTCATCAAACTGTTTCTTTCTCCGTATAACTCATTTTTCACGGAACACTGCCTCAATACCCATTTCATTAGCCAAATCCTTAGCTTCAATCACGGCCTTATCAAAACCAGATCTTCTAAATTCTTCAATAAAAAAAATTACCCCTTGCAAGAGTTTGATGGCAGCTTGTATATCCATATTCTCAGATTGAAGAAATTTACTCACGGTGTTAATAGCATGCAATAACTTATACCAGATTATCACACCTAAGATAAACTCAAAATTTTCAAACTCATAGGAAACTAAGGATTCTGCTTCACTCTTTGTTTTAGGATCTTCAATCTCATTTATCAAAGCAACTAAAGCATCTCTTATTTGGGGAAATTGATCCTTGATAGCTTTGACACTATCAATATGGCTCTCCCAACGCGTTTGTGATAATGGCTTAATTGTCAAACCCTTAACATGATCTTTTAAAATTTTCCACCGCCTTGTGGAAGAAGAGAATATAGTATATATGCGTTGTATAACTCCAAAGAAAGACATCGCATTAGAACAACAATTTGCTGCATCACATAATGCCAAATTACAACTATGGCAACCGCAAGGTGTATAAAAAGCTCTTGGATTTATTTTGAGCAATCTCTTTTGTACACCTTTGTGTTTACCCTTCATATTGGAACCATCATCATAACCTTGCCCTCTTATATTGTCCACATGAAGCTCCAATTCAGTCAAAGCATGTTCAAGATGTGTAAAGAGTCCAACACCTGAAGTGTCATCTACCTCCAAAAATTGTATCCAAAACTCTTCCACTTTCACAACGCTCGTGCAATCATCTAAACATCTTATGACAAGGGACATCTGCTCCTTATGACTAGCATCAGGAGTGCAATCAAGGATGACTAAAAAGTATTTTGCACGCTTGACTTTGGCAAGTATTTTGTTCCTAACCTCATTTGCCAACATTTATATCAACTCATTTTGAATTTTGTTTCCAAGATATGTGGCATGAGTCTCATGATCTTTTATACGCCGAACATGCTCTTTCATTATCGGATCAAATTCTGCAATCATCTCAATCATTTGTAAAAAGATGCCATTACGCTCAACATAAAGAGTCTGTGAGTCTCCTCGAAATGCCAAATTATTTTTTGCCAATCTTTGCACAACTGCAATTATCCTGTGCAATACTTGTCTCCAGTGTTCTCTTTCCTTCCTGAGTTGTACTTGCACACTTGAATCAATTGTATGATCTCTAGATAACCTCCTTTCTAAATCAATCCAAACTGTCATACATTTCATGTGTTCTTGACTAGCCTCATGGGATGTCAAACAATGAGTCAAATTATGCCAGCCATTGTACCTGTCATTAGCTAGTTGATTGAACACAAATTTTGTGTTTTTCTTGAACAATTTGCAGCAAAAATAAAAAAACCTTGTCCAATGAAACAGAATATGTTGGTCCCGTTTGTAATGGGAACAGTCTAGAGGGGGGGGGGTGAATAGACTGTTCAGGAATTTAAACTTTTCTCTAAGTCAAGTCTGACTTATCAGAGATGGTCGAAATCTGGTGACAGAGATGGTCAAGTTCTGATGGCAGAACTAGACCAGGCAGCGGATAAGTTTCTGTCCGGGTAGCCTCTAGAAGAAAACTAAGGCAAAATGCCTTTCTGGTAACTCTGAAGGAAGATCTGCTGGACACAGAGTCCAACCTTAAGACTTAGTCAGTAGAATCTTAAGTGCAGGAAATAAAAGCTAAAAGTAAATGACACTGGGGTTTTTATAGTGGTTCAAGGAACAACTTGTTCCTCTAGTCCACTGTTCCACTAAGCTTGCAAAAACAACAGTTTACAACGCCTTAGTCCCTAGAGCTTAAGAAGCACTCCTCGTCTTCTTCAAGTCTAGTTGCCACCCGGGATGCAGTCCTGCTTCCTGATGGCTGGTCTCGTTTGACTGAGTCTCTTGAAGTATCCCCACTTCACTTACTCCAGCTAGTTTGAGACGTCCCTTCTTTTTCAAGAAGTGTTTGATATAAAATCAGTTTTCTCCAACGTTGCTTCTTCACAAAGGATGAGTATATGAAGCTCTCAAAGTGTTGAAGAACTGAGTAACTTTGCAGTTTGCTAGTTGGATGAAGGATAAGAAAATATATCTTCCAACTGGAGCCTTTTCTTGTATAAGAATGAAGTTTGAATCTCAAGAAGGTTGTTTACGCAACGTTATCTTTGCAAAGTTATCTTCTTAGTTCTTCAGAGTGTATCTTATATACTGGGAGCAGTCTTCCCGTTGGAGTGTAGAAGACAGCTTCATTAATTGCATGTACTATTGACTTGACCGGTTGGACCTTCGATTTGCTATTTTGGGGGCGTAAAGATACTCGAATGGTCAATCATCAGCTTTAAATATCTCTTCGTACGTACAACATTAAATGTGCATTTAATGCGTGTACAGTGCCATGTTTCCGTTGAAAGGTTCGTAACCGTTAGGGGATTTCCCGTTAGTTTAACGACCGTTGGAAAGGCTTCAGATGACCAGAGAATTAGCAGAGTCTAAAGAGGTTCTCTGGTCCAATCTCTGAAGTCCGTCTCTGTTGCCAATTCTGGTATCTTTGTGATGACCAGTTTCTGATGGCTACTCTGGTGAGCAACTCTGGGAACAACTCTGGTAGAGGCAAGATGGAACTCTGGCAGACAGACTAGGCTAAAACTTACAAAAGAAATTCTAATACACAATTTCTAATGGGGTACTTTCAAATTCTAATTAACCTAGCATCATCAAAATCTAAATACAATTAATCCTTACAATTTCCCCCTTTTTGATGATGCCAAAACCCTTTAACTATTTCCAGAGAAGTGCCTTCCACCATAAAAAAAGAATGAAGTTTAAAACTTTTCATTAGAGTCTTGGTGGGCAACTTAGCATAGGAGAATAGTAAGAGTACGACACAATCAGACAGCAATAAAATCAAATACGATAACAGAAAATACACAAGAAAGTAAATAAGAATAGATAATTGAATAAGCCAAGCAAAAAGAGAGGCAGAGTTGGTATCTTATTAATCTGATAGGGAAAGTAAAGTATTACAGAGTCAGAGATAGAGAGTTAGAGATCTTCTTCATCTACCTGTGGTCCTGCTCTGTCAATCCTCTCTAGTTCAGCATTAACCTTTGCTCTGATTGAGGCTAGATCCCTCGGATTCTGATAATCAGCCCAATGGGGTGCAAGTTTGCAGTCCAAGTAGTTTCTGACAGCTTCTGCAGAATTCTTGCCATTGAGAATTTTCATACCATACCACATCTCAGCTTCTTGGATTGAACCACCATGGTTGATCTGGACAAGTCCATCACTGTCCATGAACAGATTCTCTCTTTGAAGAGGAGTCATCAGTTTCCTCATTTGTTCAAATTGGACTCTGTCTGGCCTTGACATACCACTCTTCATCCAATCATTGAGTGAAAAGGATGAAGTCTATTTCTTGGAGCTTCTTGGAGGAAGAGGTGGAGGTCTGGTGCCTGCAGCAGCTAGCCTTTTCTTCCTGGTAGCATCAAAATATGGAGTAGGATCAACAGAGGAAGGTTCTCTGATAGAAAGGGCTCTGGTGCTGGGTCCTTCTTCTTCTCTGGTATCTTCCCCCTTTTTGGCATCACAAAGATCACCAAGGAGAAGTTCAATCTTTGAGAACTCAGAGGCTTGAGCATCTCTGATTTCATCAAGGGTCTCTGGCAGAGTTTGGGTTACAGAGGCAAGTCCTTCAATCAGGCTTTGTTGCTTGTCTACTGCAGACTGAAGGTCCCTAGTGCTGACTTCTAGGAGCACCATCTTCTGGTACCTTTCCTTGTCAGACTTGAGGAGAGCCAGGCCTTGCTCTTGATGTTCCTTGCAGAGAGAGTGTAAGATATTGAGCTTCTGGGAGGAACTATCAGCAGATTTTTGGAGATTGTGAACAGAATCTGATAACTTGTTGATTGTCTGGTTCTGGGCAAGCAGAGCTTGAGAGTGGGAGTGGAGAACAGAGTTGAGGCCACTAACATCTCTGGAAACAGAATCAATCCTTGAAGTAGAGGAATGCATGAAGTTGTGCAGATTTTCTGTCAGTGCAGCAACTTTGTCTGTCAGATGCTGAAATCCTATTGTGATTTGCAGATTTGTATGGGTGAGCTCTTCATGTTGCTTATCATTCAACTCTATGATCTTGCTCAGATCATGAACCAGTATACCACCAAAAGCTTCAG